CCCGGCCCCGCCCCTCGGCCCCAAGCCCCGCCCCGACGCTCATTGCCTTCAGGACCGTTCTCCCTAGTGCGGCCATCCAGCCTTGGTACCTTGTCCTTCCCCGTCCCCGCTTGCCCCGCTCTCCTCCCTTATCCCCACCCCCATCTCCGGACCCCGATCTGCCACACTCTTCCCTCCGGGCATTCACCGGCTGCACCCCATGGCTTGCCCGCGTCCTTCAGCCCTAGGGCCGGGTCTGCTACCGCCTTGACACTTCCTCCGGTAAACCTGCCCCTTTTCACATAACCCCGCCCCTCCACTCTAGCTTCTTGAGGGACTGGAGCTGAAACCAGTGGGCACCCCTTTTTCCCTACGGCCACGCTCGGAACGCCCCCTTCAGGAAAGCCCCGCTTCACCTCCACCTGTCCCACCTGTAGCCTACGCTACACCTTCACCACAACCCGGGGTGTGGGTCAGGAGGAAATCTGGGCTGCGGCCTGGCCCGTCACCCCCTCTTCTCGCCCCCAGTGAGCTGGACTACCATGAGGCCGCCTCAGTGAACAGCCGCTGCCAGGCCATCTGCGACCAGTGGGACAACCTGGGCACGCTGACCCAGAAAAGGCGAGACGCGCTTGAGGTGAAGCTGAGGGCCGGGAGCTGGGGGCTGGACACTGGAGATAGGTGACGGGGGCCTGTTGGGCAGACTGCTGACCCGGCCTCCATTCCTGCGGCCTTCAGAGAATGGAGAAGCTGCTGGAGACCATCGACCAGCTGCAGCTGGAGTTTGCACGACGGGCAGCACCCTTCAACAACTGGCTGGACGGAGCTGTGGAGGATCTGCAGGATGTGTGGCTGGTGCACTCGGTGGAGGAGACCCAGGTGGGTGTGGGTCTGCATTAGATGACAGAGAAACTGGCCTAAAATCCTGTCAGCCACTCCTTTAGGCTCTTGGGGAATGGGGACAGAAGGAAAACCTGAGTTCCTGAGAGCTGGACTGGGAGACAGGACTGGGTTATTGAACCAGCCCTTCCCTAGACCCACTGGATGGCCTGGAGCACGTTGCTGCCCTTTCTGTCACCTACAGGAAGTGGGGGATCCTGGCTGATCCTTCCTGCCTGTTGCCCCCAGAGCCTGCTGACAGCACATGAGCAGTTCAAGGCAACGTTGCCCGAGGCTGACCGAGAGCGGGGTGCCATCCTGGGGATCCAGGGTGAGATCCAGAAGATCTGCCAAACTTACGGGCTGCGGCCCAGCCTGACCAACCCCTACATCACCCTCAGTGCGCAGGACATCAACACCAAGTGGGACACGGTCAGTGCTGTCTATGGCCACTCCCCGCCTCCCACCCGCTCCTGAGGACTCAAATCACCCTGAAAGCTCAGGTATCCCAAGATAAGGATCTGGGGTCTGCATAGGCTCCATGTGGCATTGGACAAGCCACCTTGCCTGTCGGCCTCATCTGTAAAGTGACCATCGCAGCAGCATTTCCTGTCAGGCCTGATGTAGAGTGAAATCTGGTGTGGGAGCATCCTTTACAAAATAACCTGTTCGTTATAAATGAAGTTGCTGCCCCATTTAGTGACGAGGAAACAAGCCTAGAGAGGTTAAATGATTTGCCCAAGAGCCTGCCCATCAAGCCCTGACACTTTGGCTCAGAGCAGCAGGGGCTGTTTGAGGGGCTGGATTCCTCAAGAGCTGCCCCTGGCAAAACCACTCTCCTTCCCAGGTCCAAAAGCTGGTGCCCAGCCGTGACCAGATGCTGCAGGAGGAGCTGGCACGGCAGCAGGTGAATGAGAGGCTCCGACGACAGTTTGCAGCCCAGGCCAATGCCATTGGGCCCTGGATCCAGGGGAAGATGGAGGTAAGGCTTGGATGGGGGGGCAGGGGCCAGGCCACCAGGAGTTGGGAGTCCCCATCCTGCCCTGGTCTCCCTGCAGGAGGTGGGGCGCCTGGCAGTGGGGATGATCGGCTCTCTGGAGGAGCAGATGGCTGGACTGCGGCAGCAGGAGCAGAACATCATCAACTATAAGAACAACATTGACCGGCTGGAAGGCGACCACCAGCTGCTGCAGGAGAGCCTGGTGTTTGACAATAAGCACACTGTCTACGGCATGGAGGTGGGATCACTCCCGCTAAGAAGAGGGGAGGTGGCACTGGCTGGTGAAGCCTAGAGCGGCCACAGCTGGACACAGCATGTCTGTCCCAGTTCAGCTTGGCCAGGTCTCCCAATGTACCCAAGGGGATACTGAGACCCAGCGAGTGAAAAGTGACCTGTCCAGAGTCATATAACAGTCTAAAGCCAGGCCAGGCAGGATTGGTCATGGATGGTTGATCAATACTTAATTATATAATCATCAAACTTTAAGGCAGGAAGGGGCACTGGAGGACACTCAGTGGAACCTCCAGATGGGTAGAGGCCCAAAGAGAGTAGGACTTGCCCAGGGTCTCATAGTGGATTGGGGGTGGAGCTAGAGCCTGTAGCCAGACACTGGCTGCCCACTGACTTAGCCTGTCTCCTACTCTCCCAGCACATCCGTGTGGGCTGGGAGCAGCTGCTCACCTCCATTGCCCGCACCATCAATGAGGTGGAGAACCAGGTACTGACCCGAGATGCTAAGGGCCTGAGCCAGGAGCAGCTCAATGAGTTCCGGGCATCCTTCAACCACTTTGACCGGGTCAGCAGGGGCCTAGCCTTATGGGGTGGTGGACTTGGGCTAGTGGGGTTTGAGGACCACGCCTGACACCCACTCACCCACTACAGAAGCGGAACGGGATGATGGAGCCCGATGACTTCAGGGCTTGCCTCATCTCCATGGGCTATGACCTGGTGAGTCCCCCCAATCCCATCCCAGGAGTCCCATCAGTGCTCTGTCCTGCTTATGGATCACCTACTGTGTGGTTCCCACCTTAACATCCATGATCTCATTTTCTCATCACACCCACTAGGGCTGGGCAGAATTACCCCTTTTCAGACACAGGCTATCAAAAGCTGAGAGAGGTAGATTAACTTGTTCAAAGACACACAGCTGGAAATTTGGACCTAGTTCTGTGTGACTCCAAAGCTTGAGCTTGCAACATTTTTACTCAGAGAAACAGTACTACAGAGAGCCCCAGAAAAAAGATCAGGACCAATGGGCAACAAGGGGCATTGCCACAGTCAGGAAGCAGATTTCAGCCTAGTAGATGGACTTTCTAAAGTCAGACCTGACTAAGGCTGCAGTCTATGGAGGAAGGGAGCACCCTGTTGCTGGGGTTGTCAAGCCAAGCCTGGACTGTCCCCAGGAGGGGACATTAGGAGCCCTCCTGGCTTTAATACCCATGGACATGATGCCCGGCCTCTATCCCTCCCTGCAGGGGGAAGTGGAGTTTGCTCGCATTATGACCATGGTGGACCCCAATGCAGCCGGGGTCGTGACCTTCCAGGCCTTCATTGACTTCATGACCCGAGAGACAGCTGAGACTGATACAGCTGAGCAAGTTGTGGCCTCCTTCAAGATCCTGGCGGGAGACAAGGTAAATCCCTGGCATGGAGGGGCTGGTGGGTTGGGGCAGGGAATAGGACCTGTGAGCCCTCAATACCTCTTCTCCCTCAGAACTACATCACCGCTGAGGAGCTGCGGCGGGAGCTCCCGCCTGAGCAGGCTGAGTACTGCATCCGCCGAATGACACCTTACAAGGGGTCTGGAGCTCCAGCTGGAGCCCTGGACTACATGGCCTTCTCCAGTGCCCTCTACGGGGAAAGCGACCTCTGACCTTAACCCCTGAGGTTCTCCATGCGAGTAGGAAAGAGGGTGCTCCCTTTGACTGATCCCATCCATCCCTCAGGACACAGACCCTGAGAATGACCAGCTGACTGTTTCTGAATAAAGACCCATCCCCACCCGTGGGTCTCACTCCATCTCCTTTTGGTTCCTGAAGCAGAAGCTAGGCCCTCAGGCTCCTGGGCAGGACTAGTTGCCTGACCTTAACCCTCCAGGGGTCCCCACCACCCCTCCTTGCCCTCAGGGACTGAGCATTCATACCACACTGGAGCTGAAGACACCCCTTTATTGTTAGAAAAGGGTGGTTACAACAGTTTGTCTAGACATGGAAGGGAACACTGTCCCCAAATCCAGGGGGACCAGAATTTATAGTATCAGACAGAGAAAAGCCAGGTCAAGAAGCCAGAGCCTGCTGAGGATAGGCTGGATTTAAAACCAGAATATCTGCTTCCCACCTGTCCCTTGCCCGAGCCCAGGGTTCCTGCCCCAGTTTCAGCTGCCAAGACATCACCCTTCACCCAAGACCCTCTTAGCTACCACAACTTAACAAAGGTGCAGCTGGGGAACTTCAGAGCGGGGGTGAGGTGGATGGGGTAGGGGCTGTACCCCTAGCCCAGTGCCCTTTGCTCACCCTGAGATACACAGTGCCCATCCCTGAGCCAGCTGTGCCTCCTGGGGAGGGGCCTAGAAATGGAGGTCAGGCTGGGGGAAGGGTTGCTCTGGTCTGCAACAGGTCCTGAGCTAGTGCTCTTCAGTTCACCACCGCCGAGCTGGCCATAATGTTCACACCACAGGCCCCAGACCCTCGATGCAAGTAGTAGTAACCCTGGGGGGGAGGGGGGGGAGAGAGTTGGTGAGGGCACTAGGACGGAATGGAGGCTGGAGGGCCAGGGGCCAAGTAGGCAAGACTCACCTCCTCACCCCAGTCAGTGCCCCAGCTGTTCTTGATGGCCCAGAAAGGAACATCTGAGCCTGGGAAGCAGAGGGGAGTGCAGGGGGTCAGGGCCTCAAGCACTATGTACTCTTCAAATATCTGCTGTGGGCCTACTGTGTGACAAGTACTAGGCAAAGAGCAGAGAAAAAGACAGGCCCACCTACCACCCTCCTGGAGACCTGGTGGGGACCTGGGATTTGGGAAGGGTACCTAACTACCCCCCTCAGGCAGGTTAGTTGTCCATACAGTTCGACCTTCCACCACTTCAGCTTTCCCATCCACAGAGGCGGTGGATGATCCAACCTGGCCCACAGCCGGAGAGAGGGGTAAGGACAGGGTCCCTAGGCTTTCCCCAGACTTCCCCCTAGAGGTCCTGAGATGCTGTGGTTCAACCTCTGCCTGTTACCTGGGGTGGGGGGCAGAGAGGGGGTCAGAGGAACTCACGGTTGCCGTAGCCCACGAGTAGCACAGCATGGTCAATGAACCAAGGGCTGCAGAGAAGCCGCAGGGGGTGGGAGATCCCACGGCGGTAGAACTGAGGAGGGAGAACAAGTAGTAGGGGGCCAACTCCACAGAGAAGTTGGGGAGGAGTCAGCAAGAAATGGAGTGGGGTAGCGGGGCTGGGCCTTACCTGCATGCCGAAGGCGTTGATGGCAATGGAGATGGGGCCCTTCTTGGCCAGCCAGGCTGCCATATCTGAGACAGGGGAGGGGCAGCATCAGTGGCACCCAGGCCCCAGCTCCATGTGGCCTGTCCCCATCCCCATCCCTCACTCACTTTGCTCATTCCGGCCTAGCTCCACTGAGTCATTGATGTAAACCTTGACCTTATCTGCAGAGAAGTTGCAGGTCTGCAAGTGGCCACTGTAGCTGTAGTCATCCTCTGTCTCCAGCCCTCCTGGGGAACGGTGTGGGGTAGATGGGGGAGTAGAGAAAAGGTGGACCCTGTTTACTGTACACTCATCTTCTCCTAGCCAGAGGCTGTGCTAAGCCGCTTATCCACAAGGCCTCAAATTCTTCACCCAGCCCGGGCCACAGGCCATCCCCTCTAAGAAAGTGCCTCATTCTAGAGATGACACAACTGAGGCTCAGAGGGCTGAGGGAGTAACCAGCGAGAAATATGGCAGAGATGGAACTCAGCTCCCAACTTCTGACTCCTCCCTTGTCCCTGCTTTCCTAGGACTCTTGACCTTGGCTTGCTTGTCCTGCTCTAACAGGACCCAGCCCTGACTCTGTCCATCTCTTATAGGACATGTGTGGCTCCCAATCTGGCCCAGACCCCCCCACACCAGGCTCCCAGACCAGTTTCTATACAGCCACTTCAATCACTCAGCCTTCATCCTTCTGCCACTGCAACCCACTGCTTAACTGAGTTGCCAATTTAATTCAACACCTCCTCTCAAGGAGGTATATGTCTACTTGGTTTAGCAGCGTCTAGAAATACAGACATCCAAGCAGCAAAAATACCAAGGCCCCGTTAGGTGCCAGGAACTTTACACATATTTCCTCATATGATATTCAAGGCAATCCTATGAGGTGGACATGAGCCCCATTTCACAGATGAGGCAACTGAGGCTCTGAAAGAGCTGACTTGCCCAAGGACTTCAACCAGAAGGGTGAGCACGAAGACTTAAACCCAGTTCATGTGACTTCCATGCTCATGTCTCTACCCATTAATACATACCCAGGGTCTTTATGGCTGAATAGGCATTGGAGGGCAAGCCGCCCATGCAGGCCTTGTCCACTTTGTCACAGTCCACGAGCTCTAGGAGACAGAAGGCCGGTCCCAAGAAGCCCTCAAGAGGGGCTGGGCTAGGGATAGGAGGGTAGAGCAGGATGCTCACCCTGCTCAGAGAGGGAGAGGAGGTCCCCCCGTTTCAGGAACCACTGGCCCTCCACGTTGCCTGTAACTGAGAAGGCCCAGCAGGAGCCACACATGCCCTATAAGAGACAGGAAAAGTCAGGGATGGGTCCCTTCCTAACCCCAAGGGCAATCCTCATGTCCCACCCTCGCTTCTGAGGGGTCCAACCTGGTTCTTGACTTTGGTGACAGCCCCTTTATTCCTCCAGTCCCACTCAGGTGGGGCAGGGTCGTCAAGGGACTTGGCTAGGCGCATCTTCTTGCCAAGCCCCTCTTTTAGGAGAGGATTCAGGTAGATGGTGCGGAACTCCTCCTCTGTGGGCAGAGGTGGGCAGGGATGGGGGTGGGGGGAAGTTTTCTAAGCCAGACCTCATCACGGCCTTGGGAACAGGTCCTGTCCCTTCTAGGCTTCATGATGGTTCTGGCTACCACCCCTACCTGTGAGGTCACTGAACTTGGTGACTCCATACTGAGCTGTGCCACGGTCCAGGGCCTGGATCTTCTGAGCTCGTACCATGTTATTGATAAAGACGGACATGCGCCACTGGGCTTCTGAGGACCAAGGAGCAGGAGAGGAGGGGCTCAGACCCCAGGCAGATCATAAAGGAGGGGCACTTGGGGCTAACAGGCAGAGGTTTCTCTGGGGAGTAGGTGGGCTCTGTAAGCTCAAGGACAGAACCCCAGGGCAGGTAGAGGTGGGAGGCCAGACCTGCAAGTGGTAAGGGTAGAAGGTGTGATCAACTTTTGGGGCCAAACTGGGGTAATGACTTCTCAGGTGTGAAGGCAGAAACCAGAATGGGCTCCAAAGAGCATCCCCAGACAGGAGGTCATGGGAATAGGCCACCATGCCAAGGGCTTCCAAAAGAGAAAATCTGGCCTTTGCCCCATCCCACTCTACCCAGAATGATGGAAGCCCATGGTTTCTGACCAGGAAGATCAGATAGGAGAAGGGGCCAGGTCCCTGAGGCTGCCCAGTCCTGGGTGGTTAGGCAAGAACTTGGGGATTTAGGGGTCTCTGAAAGGATGCACTACCTCTTCTGTCCTTCCCCTCCCAACACCAAGGTGCCGAATTGGGGGAAGGCCTGATCTGATTGGGTCCTCACCCTCCTCTGTCTTATATGTCCGGTTATAGGTGGTGACAAAGTACTTGAAGAGTGAAACCATTTTCACAGAAAACTCCTGGAAAGACAGGGGGTCTTTACAAGGAGTCCTTCTCAAACTGACCAGGGAACCCCAGGCCAGGGTGAGGGGAAAAGAGGGGACATAAGGCAGCAGGCAGCTCCCCAGAGAGAGAAGGGCTCCTCACCTGGGACAGGGAGTCCCTGTTCAACAGTGGAAGGAATGAACTGAAAGTTTCATTTTTGTCATCTGGATAGGGTTGGAACAAAGAAATCAAGGCTGAACCCCGAATAAAGTCTGATCCGGGCTATCCCAGCATCCCTGGGCTATCCCAGCACCTTTCATCTTGGTATCCACTGCACCACAGTCCTGCCTCAGCAGCGAGTGTCTTCCTAGCTCATAGAGGACTTCAAAGCTGCAGAGCTAGTGGGAGAGGAGGAAGCCAGCCTGTGGGGCCCTTGGCTAGATGGCGCTGGAGTCTCCCCAGATGAGGACCACCCCCAAGGCAACCACCCCCACAGTGGAGAGTGAGGCACCGCCAGCACCCCGACGTTCTCCCTTTTCTGGCACGGTCTCTGGCCCTCAGGTCCCTGGAGGTGACCTGGGTAGCTGCTGCCTCAGACCCCTTCCTTTTGGCTTGGCTCATCTTCCCAACTGCTGCCAGAGTCCGCCCGGGGGCGGGAACTTTGGGAGCCCCATCACTCACCAAGGTTTTCTTAGACGCGGAGAGCTGGCACGCCGTGGGGTCGTTGCAGCGCGGCTCCTCCAGCGTCACCTTCAGGGAGTACAGAGACCCCCCGCCTGCCTGGGTGGAGGGGCGGGTGGCGCGGGTGAGGCGGGTATAGCCATTCCCTCCTCAGCCCGGCCGTCTTGGGTCCCATGGCCTCACCGCGCCCCCTCCCCCCTCCCCT